GGGAGGGATGTTTAGGATGGACATTTCACAAAGATTTTTGAGCAAAAGCAACTGGGCTGCCCTTGGGAGCAGTAGCAGGTGGGTTGAGATGGCCACACAACACCAGAGTTGGGAAAAAGGAGTTTTATGTCCCAGTTTTCCTTTCCTTTCTGACCCACACAGCCACGGGGAGGGACATTTAGGATGGGCAAAAATTGGGCTGTGCCTGGGAGCAGCAGTAGGTGCGTTGAGATGGCCAGAGTTGGGAAAAAGGAGTTTTATACCCCAGTTTTCCTTTCCTTCTGACTGACACAGCCATGGGGAGGGACATTTAAGATGGACATTTCACAAAGATTTTTGAGCAAAAGCAACTGGGCTGCCCCTGGGAGCAGCAGGTGGGTTGAGATGGCCACACAACGCCACAGTTGGGAAGAAGTTTTATAACCCCGTTTTCCTTTCCTTTCTGACCCACACAGCCTTGGGGAGGGACATTTAGGATGGGCATTTCACGAAGATTCTTGAGAAAAAACAACTGGGCTGCCCCTGAGAGCAGTAGCAGGTGGGTTGAGATGGCCAGAGTTGGGAAAAAAGAGTTTTATACCCCAGTTTTCCTTTCCCTTCTGACCCACCTGGAGGATCACACAGCCATGGGAAGCAATATTTAAGATGGGTATTTCACAAAGATTCTTGAGCAAAAGCAACTGGGCTGCCCCTGGGAGCAGCAGCAGGTGGGTTGAGATGGCCACACAACACCAGAATTGGGAAAAAGTTTTATACCCCCGTTTTCCTTTCCTTTCTGACCCACACAGCCTTGGGGAGGGACATTTAGGATGGACATTTCACGAAGATTCTTGAGAAAAAACAACTGGGCTGACCCTGGGAGCAGCAGCAGGTGGGTTGAGATGGCCAGAGTTGGGAAAAAAGAGTTTTATACCCCAGTTTTCCTTTCCCTTCTGACCCACCTGGAGGATCACACAGCCATGGGAAGCAATATTTAAGATGGGTATTTCACAAAGATTCTTGAGCAAAAGCAACTGGGCTGCCCCTGGGAGCAGCAGCAGGTGGGTTGAGATGGCCAGAGTTGGGAAAAAGAGTTTTATACCCCAGTTTTCCTTTCCCTTTTCACCTATCCAATGTGCTCTGCCTTTCTCCGTGTCTGAAATCGTGTTAGCAAAGGGAAAAAAAGGAGATTTTCAACAAATCTGTGGCCTGCCCCATGTCTGGAAGTGGCCAAGGCCAGCCTGGACAGGGCCTGAGTGACCCATGTCCCTCCCACGACAGGACATTGGAATTAGATGGCTTTTAAAATCCCTTCCCACTCAAACCATTTTGAAAATGAAAAGCTCTGCTCATATTACTTTTTAAGGGGTTTTTTTTATGCTTTCAGAGCTCAGTGGCCCAACCCCAACAATCCCTGCTTGGGGGTGTTTGGGGTGGGGCAGCTGGGCTGGCCTTACCATGCTGGTGGCCAGCGAGTCCTGGATGGAYGCAGAGGAGAGCACGGCYGGCTGRTCCCTCTCCAGGTTCTTCTCAATCTCAGCCACTGAGCTCAGGAGGCTCTCCAGGCTCTCCTGGACGCTCTGGGACTGGGCAATGGATTTCTGCAGCAGGTCTGAGCGCTCGGACATCTGCTGGGAGAGGCTCTGGAAGCGGCTCACGATGGCATCTGCGGGGTCAGAGTGGAGGGGACTCAGTGCCACACAGCTYCAGGTGCCCAGAGAGCAATGAGAGCCACCTCTGGCTGCCCCAAAACTCTCAGTGGTGACAAAACCCTGTCCCCAAACTCAGCAGTGCGACAGGGACACAGCACAAGGGGTCACAGCCCACCCTATGTGAATCGCTGAGGTTGCATTGCTGTGTGTTTACCCAAAAATTCCCCCAAAAGTGATTCATCTGGGTCACCTCTGTTGCCCCAAAACTCAGCAGCATGTTTACCCCAAAATTCACCCAAAAGTGATTTATCTGGGTCACCTCTGGCTGCCCCAAAACTCTCAGTGGTGACAAAACCCTGTCCCCAAACTCAGCAGTGAGATAGGGGACACAGCACAAGGCGTCACAACCTTCCTCACATGTAGGACATCCTGCCATGTTTTCACCCCAAAATTCCCCCAAAAGTGGCTGGTTCTTGCTCTCCCCAGCCCTCCCTGGCAGCTGCTCTGCTCCATACCTGTTGTTTCCCTGATGTGGCCGTGGTCTGGGGCCGGCTGCCCTTGGATGTCCAGCAGGGACCRAGCGGCTTTTTGGAGCTTCTCCACGGGCACCTGGTGCTCGGCCAGGTCTCCCTGCAGCTGCTGCTCTCACACAAGGAAAGCCAAAATCAGGGAGGGGTCACACAGACAGGATTCCCACAGTCACACAGCTCAGGGCTGAATTTACACCCTCTGAAGGATCCTCTGCACTTGCAATCATTAAGAAAATGATGGAGAAGTTCAGCTCCACACTGCAGGCAGAGCTGGATCAGAGGATTTGGGCTGTCCCATCACCCTCACAGGGGAGGAATGTCCCCCTCCATGTCCCTTTGGGGTGGCTGTGATGCAGCCCCTGCTCCTTTCTCCAACCACCTCCCCCATAAATTTTAACCCCTCTGACCAGCTACCCCTACAGCTTCACCCTCACCCTCACCCACCAAAAAACCCCAACAAATCAACTCCTTTCCCTGCTGCTGACCACCCAGAGCAGCCCAATTCCTGGAGATGCCCACCAGTACCTTGGTGCTGGCGAGCTGCTCCTGCAGCACRGAGGGGTCTGATGACACTGGCTCTGAGAGGAGCTTCCCCAGAGCAGCTTCACTCTGCTGCAGCCACGTCCCCAGGGACTCAGCCACCTCCTGGAACTGCTGGCAGTGATCCAGCAAAGTGCTCAGGTGGGAGCCCAGCTTGGAGCACTGTGAAAAAAAGCAGTGAGATGTGTCGGGAAGATGCACGCCGAGGAAAAAGGGCATGGAAATAAGCAAGAAGGAAAAAAATCAATTTAAAAAATCCAYCTGGTCACAGCTTAAATGAATCGCCAGGGGTAACATGCAGAACAAGTGCAAGACAAAGGGTGTTGCCAAAAGCCCTGAAGGAGGCAATCTGGTCCTAAATTCTATAAATTTCTATACATTCTATAAATTTCTGTAAGTTTCTATAAGTTCCTATAAACATTTCTATAAATCCTATGAATTTCTATAAGTGTCTATCAGTTTGTATAAGTTTCTGTAAGTTTCTGTAAGTTTCTGTAAATTTATATATAAATTTCTGTACATTTCTCTAAATTTCTGTAAGTTCCTATAAACACTTCTACAAATCCTATGAATTTCTATAGGTTTCTATAAATTTATATATAAATTTCCATAAGTTTCTACAGATTCTATAAATCTCTAAACATTTCTATAAGTTCTGATAAACATTTCTATAAATCCTATGAATTTCTGTAAATTTCTATAAATTTATATACAAATTTCTATACATTTCTATAAATTTCTATACGTCTCTATGAAGTTTCTATAGATTCTATTTCTATAAGATTCTGTAAAGTTTCTCCCAGAAGGAAGAATCTCTCAGAGGAGGAAAAGAGCACCCTGGGGTGCAGCTGGCAGCCCTGCCATACCTCAGAGTGCAGCGCYGTGTATCTCTGCGTGGCATCCTCCAGCTTGCTCTTGACCACTCCCCTGGACATCAACAGCTGCGATTCGGCGTCCCCAGCCTCTCCTTCCACATCCAGAACCTTCTGGCCGGACATGGTGACGAAACGCAGGTCACCCTTGTGGGAGATGACATCCTCGGCAAAACCTCCCTGGCGCTGCAGCAGCTGCCGGAGCGCGGCAGGGTCACCGTCCCCTCTGCGCATCCCCTCCAGGTCCCGCTCCGCCTGCTGCAGCCACGCCTCGAACTCGCCGTGGTCCCGCAGGAATTTGTGCAGCTCGTCCCGGAGGAGCTGCGCCCGTTTCAGCCGCGTCTCAGCCCTGGTCAGCGCCGCTGGATAACGCTCCCGCAGCTCGGCCAGCCGGACGCGCAGCCGCTCCCGCTCATCCGCGGCCAGGCTGGGGCCGTGGCGCTCCAGGAACGCCTGTGCGGACTGAGTGGCCAAAATGATGTCCTGCTGCTGGGACAGCAGCTCCTGGTGCTGCGCCTGGAAGGGGGAAAAGGGAGGTTTGGCATCTCTGAATCCACCAAAAGATGGGATGTTCCATCCCTGGGAGGGTTCACTTCCAGGATGGTGGAAGGTGTGGGTGGGAGGAGAGGATCTTTAAGGGTCTTTGCAACCCAAAGCATTTTGTGATTCTAYGGCCAAGCACCAGCAAGGTGGGGAAAACTGGGAATATCCCAGGCAGAGTGTTTGAAGYAGGTTCTTGAGCAAAACTCAAAACTGGGYTSCYCTTGGGAGRAGCAGGAGGTGCRTTGAGACAACCAGAGYTGGGAAAAAGGAGTTTTACACCCCAGTTTTCCCTTCCTTTCGGACCCACCCAATAAKCTCTGCCTTTCCTTGTGTTTCCCTGTGTTCCATGGCCCTTCCACCACATCCTGCATCTCCCTCAGGAAGCCAGGCAGGGACACCCATATGGAGAATCCCACATTTTGGAAGCCAGACCCATCTGACACGTGGGTGACAGCTTTGGGTGACACTGAAGGTGTCAGTGCTGACCTTCAGCCTCTCGTGCTGCTGGTCCAGGCTCTCAGCAGCGCTGGCTGCTCCCACGGCGTGGCTGTCAGGGACATCCCCAGCGCCTGTCCCCTTCCCCGGCTCAGCAGGGTGGGGTCTGTACTCAGGGAGCTCTCCCTCATGCTCCAGAGATGTCACCCAGCTCAAAAGGGAATCGATCTTGCTGCTGTTCTCCTCCAGCTCCTTGGCAGCTTTCACCTGAAAGCACAAAAGCTCCCGATAAGGACAACGTGGTTTTCGCACGTTCAGCAAAATCCCGCACAGGGAAGGAGACAAAAATCAGCAGGAGAAGGAAAAAAAAAAAATCCTGAGGAGTTTCCCAGCCTCAGCAAATGCCTGAGACACTCCCAGAGCCTTTGTGGCTCTCTGGAAGGTGCAGAGAAACTGAAAAAGCTGAGAAATTCTGCTACATTGAATTTTTGGGCCTGATACAGCCCAGGGTCCCCACCCTGAAAGGTGTGAGGGTCACCCTCAGTGTGAGGGTCACCCTTGGTGCAAGGGTCACCCTCAGTGTGAGGGTCACCCTTGGTGCAAGGGTCACCTTTGGTGTGAGGGTCACCTTCAGCCAGGGACTGACGGACACTCCTGGTCAGTTAAGGAGGCTTTTCCCTCCCCCATCCCCTTCCAAACCAGCTCACCCACGTCTACAGTTCCCAGAGCAATTCCTGACAGAAATATCTGAGGGAAAAACCTCACCAGGGAACAGCCAGGAGGGGATCATGAACTTCCCTGAGCTGTGTCGCACCCAGGGGACACTCAGGAAAGAACCACAAACTGCCCTGAGCTGTGTCACACCCAGGGGACACCCAGGAAGGGACCACAAACTGCCCAGAGCTGTGTCACACCCAGGGGACACCCAGGAAGGGACTACAAACTGCCCTGAGCTGTGTCACACCCAGGGGACACCACAAACTGCCCTGAGCTGCTCCAGGGGACACCCAGGACCCCGAATGACCCCGACCAGACCCCGCAGCCCTGGGCCCGTTACCTTCTCGGTCTCCTGCTGCACTGCAGCACTCACGGCACTCTCCAGCTCCTTCTGGGCCACYTCAGTCCTGTCCTGCAGGGATCGGTACCGCTCCTTGGCCCTCTGCAGGTCCYGCTGCAGCGCCTCCAGCTCCTCGGGCTCCATCTTGGCCTTGTTCTCCTCCAGGAACTGCTCGGTGCCCTTGAGGACGCCGGCGAAGGAGGCGGCCCTGCTGTGCATGCTCCTCTGCAGCTCCTGCGGGGACAAGGCCRTGACACCCCAACAGCGACCCTCTCCCCATCGACCCCCCATTTTAAACCATTTTAAACTATTTTAAACCATTTTGAGCCGTCACCCACCTTGACATCGCTCTGCCTCTGCTGCAGGGAGGTCAGATCGCCCTCAGCTCTCTGCTGCTCGTCCAGCGCGTCCTCGGCCTGGCCCAGCCAGCGGCTCAGCTCTGCCAGGCTCTGTGCCCGCGCTGCCTGCTGCTCCTGCAGCGTCTGAAAAAGGGACAGGGGGACAAGGACAGTCAGTGCCAGCCCTGTGGAAAGGCTCAGGCTGCTGCAAGGCAAGGTGAGGTTACAGCTGGAGCAGATCCTGAGGGGAGGATGCAGCACAGAAAGCTTTGTGCCTCTCCAGGCGCTCCCCGCCCTGCTGAGCTGGTGGCACTTTTGTCACCATTTGGGGTTTCCTGCTAAAGAACTCCCAGGTGGAGCTGCACTGCTGTCCCTGGAAAACCCAGCCAGGAGTTTCTGTGCCTTTGCCATTCCACCTGAGAAAGGTGAAAACGGCAGCACAAACTCGCCGAGCGGGAGGCAACAAMGGCCTGAGGCAGGCAGCGCCACCGTGGAGCCCCAAAAACCCAAACAGGGGTTTTTTAAAAAATGATTTTGGGGCTGGAAAGGCAGCCCTGGAGAGGGAAAGCRTTTCTGTAGCTGATCCAGCTCCTCTTTTTGCTGCCAGAGCACAACACAGAAGCGCCTGTTTGAGCAATTGAGCATGATGTGACCTCAGAGTCCCTGCAACACCCCCTGCTCCCCTTTGCCGGGGGGACAAAAGGGCTTTTTTTAACTTTTTCACTGGGCATTTCAGCAAGGTGATGTACAAACTTGTGCCAAACACTGTGCCCGCTTCTCCCAGTCACAAGATAAAACAACAGAAGSAAATTGGAAGAGCCTTCCTAAGAGCTCTTCAGCTGCAAAGCGAGATCTTCCGGGGTTAGGGTGGGCGCACACGCAATCTGAAAAGGCAAAGCAAACTGGTTAATACACACACACACTCCAAAGAGGACAGGCAAGAGTTACAGAGAGCAATTGTTAATAAAAAAACACGTAAATCCTGTCCTGGCTGAGGGGATCCATGCACTGGTGGGTGCTGCAGCAATGCAGCAGTGAGCTGAGGGTTCATTTTTTATCCTGGCTGCATCTCCAACTGCTTTCCTGGAGATGTGCAGTGACAACAGGGCATTAAAACTGCTGGGTGACCATGGTGGCCCTTCTACATGGGGATTTCTGGGGGTTTATTCCACCCAAATAAATATTCAGCCCCAAATAATTCCCTATCTAGCTGGGAACAGCCTGGCTGTGCTGCCCATTTTGGGAGCAAAACCTCACTTCTGCCTGGCAGGAAGAAGAAAAACTTCCAGATGTGCAATGAAATCTCCTAAACTGCGAGTGGCATGCACAGGAAATCCCAAATTCCAAATCCTTCAGTGCCTCAGCCCCTTTCTGGTGGCCTCAGGAGTAAAGAGCAGCCAGGAGGAGATGGCTCAGCACCTTCAGCCGCTCCGGCCGCTGCTCTGACCGGAGCCGGACCTGCAGAACTTCCAACCGCGCCGTCACGAGCCCCGAGAGCTCCCGGAATGATTTCTGCAGCTCGTTGAGCAGCCTCAGCAGCTGCCTGCTCTGCTGTGGGCTCAGATCCTGAGCGTGCTCCGAGATCAGCACCTGCACGTCCAAGGCGGCGGCGTCCAGCTCGGCCTTGGTGGCGGCCAGGGGTCCCTGCAGCTCCTGGAAGGGACAGGAAAGGTCAGACAGGTGAAACCCACCCTGTAGCTGGGGCTGTACTGAGCTGCTGCCAGGAAATTCATGCCAGAAACACCAAAATAACTCCCAAAATAATGCCCAGCACAGAGGTGAGAGCGTCTCACTGCAGCGATTTTCCAAAATTTCTCTGCACCTCAAAATAACGCCCAGTTCAGAGGTGAGAGCGTCTCACACAATGATTTTGGAACATTCCTCTGCACCTCAAAATAACGCCCAGCATGAAGGTGAGAGCATCTCACTACGGTGATTTTCCACCATTCCTCTGCATCTCAAAATAATGCCTGGCACTGAGGTGAGAGTGTCTCACACAGCGATTTTGGAACATTCCTCTGCACCTCAAAATAATGCCTGGCACAAAGGTGAGAGCGTCTCACTGCAATGATTTTCCAACATTCCTCTGCACCTCGAAATAACACGCGGCAGGGAGGTGAGAGCGTCTCATCACAGTGATTTTCCAACATCCCTCAGCACCTCACCAAGAGGTTTTTTGGGTGTAGGGCGGCCCTTGGGGCTGAAAATGACCCAGACTGGCCATGGTGATGCCACGTGCCACCAGCAGCTCTCAAAGCCTTCCCCCCCTGACTTCCATGCCAAGATGCCACCACCAAACGTGGAAATAACCTTTGAAGATGTATAAATGTGGGGAGCAAACCAGGCTTCTCGGGTAGGTGATGGAGCAGCTTCCCAGAGCATGCAGCTCTCTCCTCAACAGCCCCACAGGAACCCCCCTGATAGCTCACCCACCACCCCAAACCTGCACTGGGGCAGACCCAAACACCCAAACCGGGCTGTGGAGCACAGCGGGGTCACAGCGCTGCTTCAGAGCACACCCAGACTAAGAACAAACCCCCGGGAGGCTCCAGAAGGGAAACAGCAGGATTAAAAGCTTCTCGTGCATTCAGAGGGCAGCAGGTCCATCAGGCTGCAGGATTTGGGGCGTTGCCATGGTTACCTGGTAGTGCTGCAGGCAGCGGCTCAAGCTGTCGGTGTCGGTGTCCTGCTGGACGTCGCCGTCACCCAGAGACGCCACAGTGTTACACACCCTGCTCAGCAGCTCCTGGAGCCTGCCCTGAAGTGCCTCGTGATGAGCCAGAATTTTAGCCTAAAAAAGCAGAACTTCAGCATTTTAATGAGGGGTTTTGGGAGGCTCAGAGTGGGGAAGGAGAGGGTGGTTGCCGGCTGTACCTTCTCAGCTTCTGCCGCCCCACGAAGGTTTTGCAGCCGGGACTGCAGAGCTTCGCTGGCAGAGCTCAGAGATTTCTGCAGGTTCTTGGCGTCCTTCTCCAGAGCTTTCAGCAGCTGCTCGGGGACTTCTTCAGGGGGGTTGGCCACCACTCTGTGCACAGCTTCCAGCTCCTGCTTCACCGGGAAGCTCAGCTCCCGCAGCTCGGAGCCCAGGGCCTGAGGACAGACAGCAGCGTTATCTCGGAGATTCCAGAGAGATTTCAGGGAGATTTCAGGGAGAATTCAGAGATTTCAGAGAGATTTCAGAGATTTCAGAGATATTTCAGGGAGATTTCAGAAAGATTTCAGGGAGATTTCAGAGATTTCGGAGAGATTTCAGAGAGATTTCAGGGAGATTCCAGGGAGATTTCAGAGATTTCAGGGAGTTTCAGAAAGATTTCAGAGATTTTAGGGAGATTTCAGAGAGATTTCAGGGAGATTTCTGGGAGATTTTAGGGAGATTTCAGAGAGATTTCAGAGACATTTCAGGGAGATTCCAGAAAGATTTCAGAGAGATTTTAGGGAGATTTCTGGGAGATTCCAGGAAGATTCCAGGGAGATTTCAAGGAAATTTCAGGGACATTTCAGGGACATTTCACGGTTGTGCAGGAAGATGAGGTTTGATATAAAAACTTCAAATCTCCCCGAAGGAGGGAGGGGTGAAAAGGCTGTGCAGGAAAATAAGGTTTGATAAAAAACTTTGAATCTCCCAGCAGCAGGGAAGGATGAAAAAGCTGCACAGGAAGCTGGAGAGAGCAGGAAAAGCTCTGTCTGCCACCAGCTCAGCCTCTCTCACCTCCGCCTGCTGCTGCAGCTCGTGCAACGCTGCCAAATTCTGCTCAGCCGGCTGCACCCGCTTGATTCTCATCTCGATATCTCGGAGCATGGAGAGATAAGAGACCAGCCTTTCGTCATGCTCCAGGCACATCTTCTTGCTGAACTTGATCTAGAATCAGGCAGGAGAACAAAACCTCAAACTCAGGCAGAAAAGGAGATAAAATATTGCATAAATTTTTTTTCCCTTCCCCCAAGGAGAAATTTATTAATAACATTCCTGGACTTGCCRCTCGCCGGCCTTATCTATGAGATTTACTACAGGGAAAACAAAACACGCGGTTCTTTCTCCAACTTTCTCCAACACGAGCTTATAAATGGCAAGAGATCTCTTGATGTCGCAGCAAAAGTGCCAAAAAAAGAGCTCTGCAAGTGCCAAAAAGAGCAGCAATGCTCCAGCAAAAGGAGCCAGCCCTGAGCCCGGAGTGATTCCAGTTGTGCATCATCGGCTCCTCTGCCAAATCCAGCTGATGCTGCAAAACCTGCTCCAGCTCCCGCTGTACCGAGGAGCTCGGATGGATTTAGCATCCAAAATCCACGAATAGCTCTTAAAAAATGCCAGAATAGCAAAAATATTCGCTCACCTGGGCTGGTCTGGAGGATTCCTGGGAGGTTTCCAGCAGCTCCCCCTCCACAATCACGGGTAACAGCAAACTGCGATCGCCCGGAGCCGGCGGCTTGGTCCTGTCCTGGGGGGTTTCTCCCRGGGGTTTTGGGGTTTTTCCTTGGTCTGCTCCGAGCTCAGCTGTTTTCTCTTGCTGTTTCTGCTCTCCCAGTTGCAGGATTGTTGAAGTTTCCTGAATTTCCGTGGGTTCCTCTCTGATCATTAAGTCCTGGGGCAGTTCCTGCACCACAGCAGCCATGCCGGACACGTCCTGGGCCAATTCCACCCGAGTTGTCCTTTCCTCCACCAAGAAATCCTGACCATTCCTGATCCCACCCTTCACCACCTCCTTTTCAGGGGGTTCAGGGAACACCTCATCCCCTCCAGAGGTTTCTGTGTCTTGCCCAGGAATTTTCTTTCCTCTCCCATCCCTGTGCTTGGCTGTGTCTCGTGCCAAGCCAGCAGCGGGCTCAGTGCTGGATTCATCTGGCTCTGGCACCCTGGAGACAAAGTGCTCCTCTTCGCCTTTCCTCCTTGGAATTTCATGGGAAATCAGGGAAGGAAGGGGCTGCTTTCCTGCAGATTTCTCTGGCTGAGCGCTGTCTCCTGGAACGCTGCCCTGCTTTGCTTTCTTTCTCTTGCTTTTCTGTTTTTGGGCAGGTTTTAGCTCGGTTTCACTCATTTTTTTCCCATCAGCGGCACCTTCCGTACGAGAGGTTTCTCTTTCTGCGTGTTTGACGGATTTTCTCCCTGCAGGCTCATCACCCACAGGTTCCACAGGGACACCAGGGGGTTCTCCAGACTCTGCAGGACCTGTCCCTCCTTTCCCTGGGCCAACACTGACAGATTCCCTCGGGGCTGCTGCTGTCACCTCCACCACTCTGGCCACTCTCTCTCCTTGCCCAGCAGCCACCGCTGCACCTTCCCTACCTGCCACAACTCCCTCTGCACCTACAAACTCCCTCCTCTTCCTCCTCCYCTCATCATCCTCCTCACTCTGAAGCACTTCCACATCCAAGAACAATTTGGGCTCTTTCTCCAAGCCCAATCTCTCAATTGCCTCTGTCCTTCCATCCTCTTCTCTCCTCAATTCCTTCCCCTGGCCTTTTGGGGTCCCTTTTTCCCCAGCCCCTGCCACCACCATCCCATCAGGGACAGACACCATTCCCAAMACCGAGGGTTGTTCAGGAGTCATCTCAGTTTTTCCCTGGGGATGATGATGATGAAGATGATGATGTTCATCCTGGGGATGGACACCACCTTCTGAAGCTTCCTGAGGTTTTAATTTCCCTTCTGCCCGTGCTTTGGGGGATTTCTCAGCAGCAGCAGCTGCACCCTGAGCTGTGTCACGGCTCACGGCTTGAGGTCGAGCTTTGGGTTCAGCACCATCAGATCTGGTAGGGAGGAYGACACTTTCCTCTTTTGGAGCCATTTTTTCTGTTTTTTCCTGGAAAAGTCGGGGTTTTTCTGCTTCACCGACCTCAGAACCAACTTTCTCCTTGGATTTTTGCACATCCCGAAGGCCGGCAGCTAATTTTTGGCTGATCAGTCCCCTCTCAACAGCTTCCTCCACGCTCAACCTCTTCCCACCAGGAGCATCCACGATTCCCCCCGCCCTGAGCTGGTTGGCAGCGATGATTTTGGCCACGGGCTCGTCCAGCAGCCCTCGCTCCACGGCCGCTCTCAGGGACAGCCTCTGGGTGACCGTGCCCTCCACCACACCACCACTGTCTGCTTGAGCCTGCAGCAGCCTCAGAGTGGGCAGGGGGTCCACTTTGCCCATCCTCAGCGCCTCAGCACAGGTCAGCTTGGTCCCTGTCACCTCATCCCGGATGGCCYGGAAGGGATGGACCTCCAGGTACCTCTGGCCGGACTCGATGTCGATCCTGCACTTCTTCAGGAACTCCGAGTAAGGAATGACCATGCAGGTCTCGGGGTCCACGATTCCTTCTCTCATTTCTGGAGAGGACAGGACCTTCTCCACCACCTTCTGGGGCACCAAGCCCTCCTGTGCTGCCTGGCAAAGAGCCAACCTCCGGCCAGAACCCGGATCCAGAATGCTTCCGCTCTCGGCCTGGATTTCCTGCACTTTCCTCTGGAATTCGGGGCTAACGAGCCCCAGTGACACTGCCTGGGCCAAGGGCAGCTTCTCCTGTGTGGCCGGATGGACAAACTCCTGCAGGACCACGCCTTGGGCTTTCCTGAGCTCCTGGCACAGATCTCCATCGATCAAACCGTGCTTCATCGCATCCTCCACCGAAAGCCTCATCCCGGACATGTGGTGGATGATTCCTCCACCAGCCACCTGCTTGGCCAGGAGCTGGAAAGCTTTTTCCTCCTCCAGGAGCCCTTTCTCGACAGCCTCCACCACAGTCAGAGGCCGTTTGGTCTCGGGATCCACAATCCCACCGGTCTCAGCCTGTAAATTAACGAGTTTTTGCCTGGTCACCTCATCAGCACCTTTCCCCTTGGAAGCCTTCTCCAGCTTGACCAGCTCTGTCCGGCTCGCCGGCTCGATCAGGCCCAGGTTGGAAGCCAGAGTGACCGACACCTTTTTKCCCCGTTTCAGGTCAACAATCCCCCCGGTGACCACCTGCCCTTCCAAGATCCTCATGGCCGTCTCCTTGTCCAGGAGCCCAACGGCAGCAGCGTCCTTGATKGAGTAGACAAAGTTATTGCCCGGGTCAAGGACCCCGCTGATGGCTTTGTCAGATGCCAGGACCTTCTGGAGCAGCTCCTCATCCATCAGACCTTCCTCGATGACGTCCTCGGTGCTCAAGGGCTCGCCCACCTGGGAGTYAAAGAAGCCGCTGAACATCCTCATCCTCTCCATGAGCTTCACGGCCGTGTGGCCGGACACSGCTCCGGAGGCCACCGCCTCGTCCAGCAGCAGCGTCCGGCCCGTCTGCTCATGGATGATGCCCCCGCTTCGGAGCTGCGTTAGGAGTGTCTCCAAAGCGTCCTCTGCTTCCTGCAGGGATGTTTCAATGACGCCTTCAGCATCCAGTGCTCCTCCCCGTTCTCTTTCCTCCACTTCCAACATATTTTCCATGTCCTGGCTTCGCCTCTCTGCCTCTCTTGCTGCAGCGAGCACAACTTCTTCTCCTCCCACCACACCATTCTCGAAGCTTCCCTCTGCCAGCAAACAAACCTCTCCAACAACTTCTGCCTCCAGCTCAGGCTCCTTCACACCCTGAGACCTCTCTRCCACCATTTCCAGTCTGTCTCTACTCTCTGGAACACCCATCCTTATGCAGATCTCACTTTTCACAACCACTGCCTCACTTTCCAACACTTTCTTCTGATCTTCAGGACTTTTTATTCCATCTACTGCAGCGGGCTTGGACTCTTCTGCCTCGACCATCATTTCCTCTGTTTCTCTGAATAATCCAGCACCAAGGTCACCAAGAGGTTCTTGCATCAATGATTTTCCCTGATGTTTGTCCTTGGCTGTAAAAACGATCTGTTCCCTGCCAAATTCACCATTGGTTTCACTCCTGATGGGCTCCTGCTCAGGGGAAATCTGCTCCTGTTCTTTCACATGCAGGAAATCATCTGCATCCTCCAAGAGGAGACTTTCAGGTCCCATCACCACCTCTCCATTCTCCAAGGCAGCTCTGGGTGGTTGGATCTTCTC